ATTCTCTATGTTTTAGCAAAGCTTGGACTGCCAACAATCCAGAGTTTCAAACAAGTTGGGACAAAACTGAACGTGACCGTACAAGACGCACCCACCTTAGTCAGGAGGAACGGCACCTTCCTAAGCCTCCAGGATGTTTTTGGCAAGAACTTAAGTTACACACTTTATTACTGGAAAGCATCAAGTACGGGAAAGGTGAGGATTCTTTCGTTTGTTTTTAATGACTTGTTTTAAGTTGTGACTCCTTGACTTTACAGCCCACTTCTTCCCTCAGTTCAAATATGCCAGAATGGGGTGGTTGAGAGAGCAGTGTGGCAGAAGGGGAGGGGGACCTGCTGTCCCGGTTCTACCTGTGACTCCGGGCGGGGCCCCTCGGATCCGCAGGCTCCGCGGCCAAGGACTGGACCGGGTCATCTCTAAGGCTCCCACCAGCTCTCCCATTTCTTCCTCTCTGGAGGATCCCAGAGACAAAATCCGTTTTCCATTCAATGATGAATGCTTCATTCCTTTTTTCTTTTATGGCAAATATCTTCTAGAGGAGCTAAATTGGGTTAGATGTGCCTAAATTGGTCATTTTTGGTCTTGGAGGGAGCATCCTTAGCAGTTACCAGAGGGAACAGAGCAGCTAAGTCACTTCTAATCCTTTCTACGTCAGGTGTGTCCTTGCAGGCTTTTACTTCCACAGTGACTTAGTAACAGGGAAAGAATTCACTCTGAGCCCAGATGAACTCAGAACTCTTCATCTCTTAACAGAAAACAGCCAAGACAAACACTAATGAGTTTTTGATTGATGTGGATGAGGGAGAAAGCTACTGTTTCAGTGTTCAAGCAGTGATTCAATCACGGAAGTCTAACCAGAAGAGTCCAGAAAGTTCCATTGAGTGCACGCACCACAAGAAAGGTATGTTCAGAGATGAGTGGCTCTGCCCAGCATTCACCTGGGAGGCACGGATACCTTCCAGAGGAGTGGCTCCACCCTCAGAACCAAGATGGACTTTTGTTCAGGGGGAAACAGGCTTCTTGTTGTTGTTGTTTGTGTTGTGTTGTGTTGTGTTGTTTGGGGGTACTCTTAACAATTTTAGGCATTTGGAAATGCTTCTGTGTTGTTCCCTTGTACTAGCTTGTGTTTTCTTGAGCCCCTACCGTGTGCTAAGCTCTCTGCTGAGCACTGGACACACGGTGCATGTTTAGGATTTAGCATCAAACCACAGATTTCTCTGGAGATTTTTTCATACTTAAATTCTGATGCTGGGAGTTATGGGGGAGTGTCTGGACCAGCTGTAGCAGCACCCACTAGACATTTGTGAGCACCTGCTATCGGTTGTTTCATTGTCACAGAGGACTGAAAGTCTAACCCGTGAAGGGAGGAGACTGAGTCTATCAGATAGTCCCTCGTGCAGGTATGTGCACACCCGGGGCCCAGACCCCCTGTGAGGAGTGATTCTTAACTGGAAGTATTGCGGGGGCTTCAGACTCATCCAATGAAGCTGAAAGCCTGAGTCTCCCTCCAGGCTTTATAGGGAAAGGACTCTGAGGACATTCAGGGAACAAAAGGGTCACAGGATAGCTCCTTGCTAAGGCAAGATTTGAAAATTTAGAAACACTTTTAAGTAAATTCTCTCCTATTGATTGACCATGACAGAAGCAGGGAAGAAAAGGGTTCTCCCTCCCTTGGGTCCTGCACTCCTCTGCACCATCAGACCCCCAGTCCTCACATCCATCTTCCTCAAGCCAGCTGGAGTTCCACTGCCTCTCTGTGTTCATACACGCCCAGATCACTGCTTCCCTGCCTCTTCTCCCTCTACTGAAATGTGACCTTTGAGAGCCATTTCATATGCCACATCCACTGGGAAGCCTTCCTGCTGCTCTAGCCAGTTATCATCTGTCCTTCACCTGAACCCTGCCATTACTCTGTGTCTCACTCTTTGCACTGATTGTTGGTCTTCCACAATTATAATCCTGGCCACCAAGCCCGGCATTATTTTTAGCCCCTACTCCCACTTACGTGTACCGTTTCCAGGCTGTGGACATTATCCAGTTTATTAAACAGCCCATTAAATGATGTTCACCACCGTCAACTGCCTTAACACATCGAGGGTTTGACCTGTTCTTTCCTAATCAAAATGTGTTGCGGTGGAAAGAGCGGAGGAAAGAAATTTCAAATGACGCAAGAGCGTCATTTGGCGTCATTTGGGGTTATGGCCTCCGTTCCGGCCCCTGATCAACGTGATTCAAGCTCTCGAAGTTGAGGTTGACTGGTACCTTTTGTTTTTCAGAAATGCTCCTCATCATTGTAATTGTGGTGCTTGTGGCCGTCATCCTCACCATCATCCTGTCTGTGACCCTATACAAGTGCAGGAAGGCGCGCGCGCGGCCGAGCGGGAAGGAGAGCTCCCCGCTCAGCGCCGCCTAAAGCTCGTGCCCCGGGAGCAGCCGCCCGCGACCGAGTGTATGTTGCACTGTGACCAAGAACTTCTAAGACAACAGAATATATATATGGAAACACAAAGGAGTATTTGGAGCATGGAGATTCTTGGGCTCAAAGAAAGCTCTTGAGCTGACCTGCTCTCACAATTAGCATTCTCGTTTCCACGACAGCATTAGACACTTTGGAATGTAACCAACGGTACAACCAGTTCCAAGTTTTTAAAATTCCTATTTTAACACTATGGCACCTTTTGCACATATCATGTGTTAGAACGTATATTCTACACCCCAAATGAAACCAGAACGTCTAATCAAAAACAAATGAACAAAAGCCTTTAAAAAAAACCCTTGGGTAGATTTTTAGAAAACTTTTGAGAAGCTGACTACAAATCATGTGGGAGAGTAAAATGGAAATTGGGTGGACTTTTCTAACATAGAACAGTCTTTTGTGATATATGGTGTTTAGGTTCTTCTTTTTTGAGTTCTTTTGGAGTTTCAAAACAATTGGCGGACTTTTATATGAATGTGTTAAATGCAGAAGACTTCTGTTTGGGGGCACATTCCTAAAGCGCCTTACAGTTTAGCACTTTAACTGACTCAAATGCTATGGATTAAGCACTTGACAGCTGACTATATTTTTATAAGACTACAGACCACATAGAGGTGATGATTTAAGGTACTGCAAGCTTTTATGGTCAATTTTGTATATATTTATATAATTTTCTAAAAGGTTTTATACATGGGGATATTCTATTTATAGAAGTAATGTTCTGTTTGTATATATTGAGATAATTTATTTAATATACTTTTATATAAATAAAGGTGACTGGGAATTGTGACTATTGTATTTATTTTATCTTCCATTTTATTATTTATGATTTGGTCTTTGTATTAGTTGGCTCTGCTGCAGGAACAAATGACCCAAAACTTCTCAGTGGCTCACAGCATTATCTTGAATTCTCACTTACATTAGTTTGGTGGCTGCGAGTTGACTGCCGCTCTTCCTAATTATGTTCTCATTCTAGGACCCGAACCAAAGGGGAAGACTCTATTTGGGTCAGGGCAGAGGGAAAAGCAAAAACCTAGTAGTAACAGAAGCCATGTCTTGGAGGGGCACCTGGGTGGCTCAGTCGTTGAGCGTCTGCCTTCGGCTGAGGTTATGATCTCAGGGTCCTGGGATGGAGCCCTGCATCGGGCTCCCTGCTGGGCAGGAAGCCTGCTTCTCCCTCTCCCACTCCCCCTGCTTGTGTTCCTGCTCTCGCTGTGTCTCCCTCTGTCAAATAAATAAATAAAATCTTAAAAAAAAGAAGCCATGTCTTGGAGCTTTGAGCCACCTCTTAGAACTTCCGCTCACCTGTCACTGCCCCAGGCAGGGTACCTGACCACACCTGACAGTACTCTGCCTACTGGGGCAGGGCACCACCAGTCACACGGCAATGGCAGGGTTACATGGTGTCCCAGGAAGGGAGAAAATTATACAGCCGACTGCAGATTTAGAGGGGGTGACTTCTTCCCATGGGCATTAGTTTGAGTTGCAGATGAAGGCTGGAGAGGAGAAAGGAAAAATTCTTTGGACTATTATCTTGAAAGAAAACGGGATGAAAGGGGAATATAAGATAGGCAGAGAGAGAAGTGGAGTCTCTGGGGTTCATTAAAAGCAAGCTAAATTAAGAGCCCTTTGTGAGTAGGACTGGGTCTGGCTCGTGTTCACGGCCCCTTGAAGGCGGCAGTGACAGCAGGCTCTTAGTCATGGCTGAGTCCAACTGACTGCATTACCTCCCTCTACAGTATAGAAATAGGGAGTCCACCATTCAAACACAAAGAAAACACGGCAACAGTCGATCTCACAGGAGTATTGGAAGAGGATTCTTTTTTTTTTTTTTTTTTAAGATTTTATTTATTTATTTGACACAGAGAGACAGAGAGAGAGCACAAGTAGGCAGAGTGACAGGCAGATGGAGAGGGAGAAACAGGCTCTCCGCTGAGCAGGGAGCCCGATGCGGGACTCGATCCCCGGACTCCAGGATCATGACCTGAGCCGAAAGCAACCGCTTAACAGACCGAGCCACCCAGGCGCCCCTGGAAGAGGGTTCTAACTAGAGATGGAGGTGAGGCTCCCGGCACCCAGCCGGGCCACAGCCATGTTTGCTCCGCCCTGCGAAAGGCCGGGCCCTGCCGGCTAGGAAGCGCACCCAGATGGCACACCCATCCTGTAGGGGCCCCCCACAGACACCCGGAGCAAGCAGTAAAATAAGGGAAGAGGCAGTTCACTGTCCCGCTGTTCATCCATTTCAAGCCGCTCTGTTCCTCTGCGCCAAAGAACTCCAAGCATTATCAATAAAACTCTATAATCATGACATGTTTGATACAGCATCACATTCTCTGGAAGGATGGGAAAAACAAACCTTCGCTGTCCCCCGAAACATGGTAGCCTGAAAGGAGAAAAGAGGTGGAAGCTTCGGAGAGCTAGAGGAAAAGAGACCGACGGTGCACTGGGTTCGTTTTGTCGGCCTGCTTGCCTGCCGCAAACAATCGGTGTGAGCACCGCAGAGGCAGGCTCGGTGGTGCCGGGCACGGGGGCGTGCCTGTAGCGCCGGGGCGCCGAGACCGCGTGGCGTGGGGGCGTGCCCTGCCCTGAGTGTGCTGCGGCCGTTACCTCGAATTCCTGCGCCGGCGGGGCTCCCGGGACAAAGGGCTTGGTGCACGACGTGGGGGAACGGCGGCGGGGGGGCGGGGGGGCGGGGGGTGGAGAACAAGTCCCAGAGAGGGCATCTGAGTGCGTGTTTCTACCAGGCTGTTCGTTCCCTGCCAGCCCTAATTACGGCATTATGTGATTCCGGGGCCTCATATCTAAAGGAATTTGAATGCACGCACCGAAGAAAGCGCTGGCCGAGCGACAGCCGGTCTGGGTAGTCACGAGGCGTCTGGCTGTTCACGGGGAAGGAATTCATTCCAGCTCCGAAGGAGGCCACACTGCCACGATCGGGAGACTTCACGACTGCACTTTAACCAGCCCTCGGGTTTCTCCTCCTGTCCTTATCGCTGAGACCGACCAGCTGCTGCTAGAATCAACACTGGCCGTAGCACTGGGAGCAGAAAGCCTCCTACTAATTGTTGGCTGGTATCCGGAAGCTGCTGCCCTCCAGCGGGCCAAATTATACTTCGTTACTTCTCCTGGCCCTTGACCTATCATAAAGCGAATTGTTAGTAAACAAACTTTCGGGCTTTGAAAATAGATCTTTACGATCTTAAATTATTGATGAAGTTTGACTTACATATAAGAAATTAACACTTGTGAAATCCAAAGACATTTTATTTACCTCAGTTACAGCTAATGGCTTATAATCAAAGCACCTGTCTCTTAAATAAACAATGGAACAATTACCCCTGACCGTGAAATGGGAAATAAACTCATTCCCAAATGCAATTCTTATCCGTTCTAGGACATGTGTATTTAGCAGGTGTTATTTCTTCTCCAACAGTTGCCTGACCTTCGTTACTGTTCCCATGGGACTTTCATTCAGAGGCTTATAGCAACACCTGTTCCCCTTCCATAGCCTCTGCTTCCCCCCCCCCCCCCCCCCGGGGATCTAGGTGATTCTGGTTTGCCATTCCTTGTCCCTGTAGACATTGGTTTAGGCACAGGACCTAACCTCGTCTAGGAAAGGTGACTCTCAGGACTTTTCCTGCGAATGTGGAGACGCTCTTTCTTGAGGAATATAATGAAGAAACCTTGGCCCCCGGAGCTGCTAGCTGTTATCTCGAGACCACAAAGGGAGCCAGCCTCAACTGGAGATAACACACTGCAGAGCAGTGCGGGGTGAGGAAAAGAAACTAAATCGCTGAGCTACTGTGCTCGCTTCAGCAGCACATATACTAAATCGCTGAGCTACTGAGTCAAACCTTGCCTGAAGTTCTCCCTGCCCAAGGACTTTTCACAGTATATAAGCCACTTAATTGTATAAGTCAGGTTTTCTTGACTTTTTTGACTTGAAGTCAAAAGCACCCAAACTGATTCTGTGGAAGCACTGAGCATGGAATATAAACAGAGAGGAAGAAGGGCCCCCAATGTGAGCTTATGGTAGAAAACATTTATATTGTAAATGTCCGTGTTTATGCCTTTTCAGCTACTAAATGATTTTGCCCTGAAATAATCCCTGCTTGCTGGTGCTATTAAGCTCTCCTTTTCTATTCAATTATTCCTATCAGAACACAAACATACTGTATTGTTTCCTATCTTAAAAAAAATAATCTTTTGACCTCATAGAAGTTATCTGGATTTCCTCCTCACTTCCTGCTCCTTGGACACCATTCTCAACTTGTAAATATTGGATCACCTTAGTGCTCCAATCTATTGTCTATCAATAATCACTCTCTGGGAAATATAGCCAAGCCCATGGCTCTACCATCTTGTTCTATCATCTCGCTCTATCATGCTGTATGCCCATATCATCTGTATGCGGATGACTCCCAATGTGTATCTTAGCCCCCAGCCTCTTTCCGACACTCCAGAGTTGCCCTGCAGACCCAACTACTTACACAGCATCTCTACCTGGATGTCTAGTTGGCATCTCAATCTTAATATGGCCAAAGAGAATCTGTAATTTCCCCAAACCCCAAAATCTGTTTCTCCCCCAGTCTTTCCCATTTCAAGAAATGGCACCACCACTGGCTCAGGCCAAAACCCTTGGTGTCATCACTGACTTCTCTTTCTTCTCCCATTCAGTGAATTGGCCAAGGGGTCAGCTCTACCTTTAAAATACCCCAGTTCCAGGGACGCCTGGGTGGCTCAGTGGGCTAAGCATCCAGCTCAGGTCATGATCTCAGGGTCTTGGGATGGAGCCCTGCCTGGGGGCTCTGTGCTTAGTGGGGAGTCTGCTTGTCCCTCTCCCTCTGCTCTTCACCCCCTCATCCCCAGCTCAGGATAGCTCTCACTCACTCTCTGGAATAAATAATTTTTTTTTTAAATACCCCAGTTCCAAAAGTTAACTCCTCCTCAGCTGTCCCACTAACTCCAGCCATTCTCTTCTCCTACTGGATTATTTCAACAGCCTCCTAGCTGGTGGCCACCCTATTTCCACGTTGGGTCCCTATATTCCATTTTCCTCACAGCAATCATAGTTATCCTTTTAAAAATACAAATTATGTTTTTAGAGGTACTTTCTCAACCCTCCAAAAGGACTGCAGGGGGGCGGGGCTTGGAATGATCCCATATTGGAGTTAATCAAGGGGAAATGCGCACGAGGTGTGAACAGGCGCTGAAGCCGCGGGTGTGAAGGCGGTTGTGGCTGGAGGGGGTGCGAGCCCGAAGCCAGGTGCCGCAGCTTCCCCCGCGGTCCTCGCCCTCCCCTACTCTCTAGCTGGCTTTTCTTCCCCACTTCTCCCCCCGCTGCCCAGGGGCCCCAGGCCCTGCACCGGATGCAGAGCCAACCATTTTCCCTAGGCTTTTCTACCAGGTCTGGCTGGGAGTCCAAAGAGAGAACGGCCACGTTCTTTTGTGGGGATCCACAAAGGCCTCAAGGAAGAGGCAGGTGGAAGCTGACACGGGTCTCTCCTTCCGCGGTCTCCCCCGTGCTCCGCCTTCTCCCCGACTCCCGGGGGGCTGTCCTGGCAGCGCTGAGCTCAGGCACCGGGCACCTGTCCCCCCCACTCCCCCCCCCTCCCCCAGCCCTTGCTCCGGAGCCCGGCCCCTGCCGTGGTGTAAACAGCTGGTAGAAACCATCCGCAGTGATTTGCGGATTCCCTAGAACATCCGCCTTTTCCCTTGTCCAGTCGGCCACCACCACTGCCATGGTCCCTACCTCCAGGTCCCTGCCTCCAGGTCCCTCCACGTTCCCACCAGCTAGCCTCTCCCTGCAGCTTGGGAAATCTGCTAGGCAGACGGTGGTTGGGCGAGAGGTGCTGGGAGCCTCCCTCCTACTTGCTGCCATGTCCTCCATCCATCTGCAGGCTGTTGTGCCCTAGTCCCGCCTGTCCAGGCTGGCCTGAACCAGAGAAACTCCAGGCTTCTCCGTTTTCAGCTACCATCTCCCCCCTGAACAGTGATCACGGAACTGAGGACTGACTGAGTGGGGAGAAGGGTCAAGGCTGAAAGCATACATCCACCCACATGGTTGAAGCAGGAGCATTCCCATTCTTACAATGTGACCCAGCCCCTTGTAGAGAGTTCTTGTGTCTAGCACTGGGTAGACTGGGCATCTGGATCAATTGTGGCCAGGGACAAAGATACTATAATTGGTCCACGCTAAGACAAGCTCCCACCCCAGACCAAGAGCAGCCATGTGGATTAGAGTAAGAAACAGGGCATCTAAGATGAAGAGGGGAGGAAATGCTGGGTAGATGATCTTGCCGGTGCCCCATACATGTCCCAGACAAGGCAGGATTAGGTAATGGCAAAGAAGAGGACTTAATGAGAAGACTACAGCAAAAGCTGTAAAGGGTGGTGAGATATACGATAGCAAGACGAGGAAGAACTGAGGAAATGGGCAGGAAGAAACCTGGGTAAGGCCTATCCTCAGTCCCAAGAGCTCTGACAATATTCTGGGGTGGGGGTGGGGGGAAATAGAAATTAGAAAACTGAAATCAACTAGCATCTTGTGAAGATTTTTTGGCCATTACTCAAATGATCTATTAGAATTAGAGATACTGGAGCACAGAAATGGACAGGAAGAAGTCCCAGCCTAGTGTTACGGATATGGAACTGGAAACATAAACTGACGGTCAATTTCTAGCAATTGCCACAAGTCCACACGTCAAGTGACAAAAATTCAGATTTCTGTTTTTACTGAAATCAGCCTGCAAAATTCACTCAAAATCTTTATAAGACACTAAATTCTTCATTCTTGGCCAAAACACCTCACAAAAATAAAGAGAAAATTAAATAACTGTAGTTAAAACTATTATAACAACTCTAATTTTCTTATGAAAGCACTTAGTTATATGCTGTTATGTCCATCAAATCAATTCTATATAAATTTGCTAAGGTTCAAAACTCAACAAAGTAACAAATAATTTTTAAAAAGAAAATAAAGAAATTTACCTTACTAAGATTTGAATACAGATCAACTACACTGTTACAAAACTTTTCTACATCTTGTGTAAGCAGCTGGTCTGGATTGGCTATCCTGTTGTCCAGATTTCCCATTTTATAATATGTGAAAGCTCTAAAACAGGTGTAAGAAAATGACACTAAAACTAATGATTTTAAAAACAAAAAAAATCACATTCTAGCACATAGTGCAAATTCATAGAAACGGAAGAGTTTGGAGCTGGGAGAGGCGTTGAAGACTGTCCTTACTTTAGAGATAAGGAAGCAAGTGCAGAGAAGGATGACTTGCAAATTAAAGGAAGAGCCAGGATTAGAGTCTGAATTGCTGAGGTCTTTGCCTACATGCTTCTGGGTGTAAGAGAACTTCCTTGAAAAACATATCCAATACAAAAGAAAAACTTCTATCTGATATCATAAGCATTTCTATTCAATTCAAGTATTTTTTTAAAGATTTTATTTATTTATTTGACAGAGAGAGACACAGCGAGAGAGGGAACACAAGCAGGGGGAGTGGGAGAGGGAGAAGCAGGCTTCCCGCGGAGCAGGGAGCCCGATGCAAAGCTTGATCCCAGGACCCTGGAATCATGACCTGAGCCGAAGGCAGACGCTTAACAACTGAGCCACCCAGGTGCCCCTCAATGTAAGTATTTTTTTTTTTTTTAAAGATTTTATTTATTTATTTGAGAGAGAGAGAATGAGAGACAGAGAGCATGAGAGGGACGAGGGTCAGAGGGAGAAACAGACTCCCTGCCGAGCAGGGAGCCCGATGCAGGACTCGATCCTGGGACTCCAGGATCATGACCTGAGCCGAAGGCAGTCGCTTAACCAACTGAGCCACCCAGGCACCCTCAATGTAAGTATTTTTAATACAAAAATAAGTTAATCACTTACTGGAGATACTCCTCATTGAGGTATTTAGTTAGTCTTACTCAGAAGCACAGTTTGAGCTCATTTAACCCAAACTTCAAGAAGTTATTAATTACAGAGATCTGAAACAAACAAACACATATTACTGGTTTTACTACATTTCTACTTGTAAAATTGTAATTTATTTCTCTAGCATTGGCTCTGTTCCCAAATCCTATGATTTTTATAACTGATAGTCCAAATTGATATAATTCAGTTCTGTTTTACTCAGTGTACAAAGATAAAAGACAACATGCTAAACCAAATGCAATTGGCTATATTATGCTGATATATTAAAACTCTACTTGAAACTCAATTTTAGAATACGTTAATATCATTAATTATGAGAAGCATCTTGATACTTCTTTTGTAAACAAACAAAAAGCCAAATCTGTCCCCTTTGGATCCAATGTAAAAGAGTCCTGACATTTATGTTTGTATCTTCTGTTTCCTACTACAAGCACTATGACCCTAGACAATGAAATTCTAGGTGCATTTGTTTAAAAAAATATTATAAATTTCATACCAACTAATACCATTTCCAGATTATTTCTAGAGTCATCTTTACTTCTCTTTTCCATCATTATATTGAAATCAATTCTTCCATAGTTCCAAACTCACATTTACATAAACATTTTCTCAAGAAAACAATGGTTGTCCGCTGGATCTCGATCTTTTAATGACATCTACACTTATTTCAATTTTTCTAAAGGTCTAAAAGCCATGTGCATGTATCCTCAAGCTTTATTAAATCTCGGACATATTTTGTAATTAGCTGGATTTTATAACCAAGCTTTTTTTTTTTTTACTTGCATATTTATAATACTAAAATTCTTATAGTGGCAGTAAAACAAAGAACCAAGCTAAGAATATCACTTATGATTTAACCAAACACTGCCCTTTATTTTTAATAAATTCAGATAATAAATTCCAATTTCACTTCAACTACATTAGTGCTTCAAGTTACTATAATAGTTTATGGCCTAAAGCAATGGTTCTCAATCAGGGTGATTTTGCCACCACACCTACCCGCACCTCAGCCTCCTCGCGACATTTGGCAATGTCCTGGAGACATCTGGGGTTGTTAAAACTGGGGGAGGGGCACTACTAGGTTTCTACTAAACATCAGAGAAACCCTGGCCTAAAGGTTAGAACAAAACAACACATAGGGACACATCCACATATGTATACAATGAAACTGAACCCAACCTAATAACTCCTGTCTTGCTATCCAGTATAAAGGTTTACATTGAAAAATTCTGCCAAAAGTTACAAAACTAAACTTGAAGTAGGAACGTAGTACCATAAATCTTTAAAGTCAACTTAAGAAGTAAGGAATCTCTGAAGATTTTTTTAGTACGATCCAAATTTTTCCCTATGTAAAGATTTTTAAAGAATTCCACTTACGAGAGGCATGGCAGCGATGAAGTTGAATAAGTATCTCCTGAAATCTTTCCTGCTACGACCAATGATACCACTGCAAACCACCACATGCAATGCATTAGTTGCAAAAGAAGCAATATTTAACACTAAGAAAAAAAGCTCTACCATTACTCTTGGAAGTTTTTATTGACTCAGAAGAATCAATAAGAAAAAAGAGGCTGAAAAACATTTTCTTGCAGAAACATGTTTCCAACTTTTGAAATTTGATCATTTGAAAGAGGCTTCTTGAAAATCAACTCTATAAATAGCAAAATTAAATAACAATGATTTCCTTAGTTCTTTCCTTCGCAGAAATGGTAAATTAAAAAAAACTGCTGCTGCCACAAAAGGGGTTTTAACAGCTTTAGAGAGCCAGCAGTGGGTTAGAATGGATGAAATAAACTAGTGTTTGTTTTTAAATATTTTAATATCCTGATGCTCATTTGGATGAACTAATGGCAGAGATAGCCTGAGAGATCAGCAAACTCTCACTGTAAAAGGTCAAGAGTAAATATTTTAAGCTTTTGTGGGCAGGAAGGTCTCTGTTCCAATTATTCCGTTCTGCTGTTGCAGAGGAAAAACAGCCAAGAATGAGACTGGCTGCATCCTAATAAAATCTTCCCAAACAGATGGCAGTGGGATTTGGCCCGTGGAGCCTTATCTGCTGACGCGAGGACTAAATTCTAAGTCCTCTCTGGTAGACTAGTGGGGTTCCTTAGAGCCTCAGAATGGTTCTCCAGAGGCTTCAGATCTGTTAATACACTTCAACTACACCAACTCCTCTTTTATGTTATTTTACATATTTATCTGTTCTAAAAATATCCATTAAGAACTTATTTAAGTAAGAATTCTACTACTTTTTGAAAACCATTATATCATCTAAGTAAAGGATCTGAGTACCATATATCTATGATCTACGAGAAAGATAGAACTTATCTGATCACATATCTTTTTTCAAAGAATGTTTATTAACATTCACAAATGTAAGTAAAATATATTTTGAAAAACACTGCACTAAATGATTTACACCTGGCCCCACATGCCAAAAAAATGATATGGTATCGGATATAGAAATAATCCGATTTTTATGAGGGAGTAGGTGAATAATGCCAAGTAACGTTAACTGGTCTTTTAGAGCAAAGAAGATGCGTGGTCAAGTAAATTTGAGAAAACCTGGGTTAAACAAAGCTAACACATGTCTTTATCAAAGACCTTCTCAAAGCTCTTAACGTAACATAAACCTTGTGCATTAAAACTCTCTGAGAGGGCTCTGTGGCATGGATCATTTCCTCTGCCATCGCTGGCATTCCATAGAACATACTTTGGGAAATGCTACTTTAGACTGACAGGAAAATTGATAGTCCAAGTTTGATAGAAGGGCTAAATAATTTTTTTTTACTTAAGTTGAACTAGAAAAAAGCTACAACAGAACCACAGAAAAATGTTGTTTCTAGAAATAAGAATATTAAAAAAATAAGAGCAATTAAGACAGTGCAAAAAGTTTAGAGGTTTAGACTAAAATTGTTGGAACCAAACTTCACATAAAACCAAAGTGCTTTAGTGCCGCCCACGCTGTGAAACACACACGATTAGAACACTTGGTAAAGCACATGCTATCACTCAGCAATGGTTTACCACTGGGGCAGCAGCTATAAATTTAAAAAATGGTTTCTTGAATAAAGCCTTATTTCTGCTTATTATTCCGCTGCAAAAGAAAAATAATAATAAAGAGTAATTTTACAGTTTATATCCTATTACTTCTAAAACACGTAAGGATCTTTATAAAAGATAATTTGGTGATTTTAAAATGCCTCTAGTCAAATGGGTGAAAATAAAATAAATCTCTATAATTACATTGTAGCAGCAACAAGGTAGGAGGGATTCTCCTCCATATCATGGAATTTCCAGGTTCTACCTTAAAGAAGGAGTCTGTCCTATTAAAATTTGCCCATACTCCACAGTCTTTAGCGACTGCTAACAAATAAGCCTAAAAGATGTAAAGGATATTAAAATGTACATTAAGGACCAGAATGACTTTCTTTCAGACTTTTTTGTAGCAGAAACAGATGAATCTAAACCTCTTTGGGAGAAGCAACAAGGGAAAAACAGAAAAATCAATTTATAATGTAGCTTGAGTAGCACGTTAGAGCTATGTGTTATTTTTCAAATAAAACTGTTCCAGGGGCGCCTGGATGGCTCAGTCGTTAAGTGTCTGCCTTCGGCTCAGGTCATGATCCCAGCGTCCTGGGATTGAGCCCCGTGGTCGGGCTCTCTGCTCCGCAGGAAGCCTGCTTCTCCCTCTCCCGCTCCCCCTGCTTGTGTTCCCTCTCTCGCTGTGTCTCTCTGTCAAATAAATAAAATCTTAAAAAAAAAAAAAAAAAAAAAAAAACTTGTTCCATATTATGAATTCACAATGTTTAAAAATGCTAAATTTAACCAAATATCAAAGATCTCATACACAGAAGCTCAAAAATATTTATCAAGGAGAAAGTTAACAATTTACTTAAAATGACTGTTTCACAATTGATGAATATGGGTTAAGAGTATATGGAAGTGGGGTGCCTGGGTGGCTCAGTCGTTAAGCATCTGCCTTCGGCTCAGGTCATGATCCCAGGGTCCTGGGATGGAGCCCTACATCAGGCTCCCCGCTCAGTGGGGAGCCTGCTTCTCCCTCTCCCCTTCCTGCCGCTCCCCCTGCTTCTGCTCTCTCTCTCTCAAATAAATAAATAAAATCTTTTAAAAAAAGAAAAAGAATTTCTCCTTGTGCTGAGAGCTCTTAGGACCGACCCTCCTAGCAGGTTCCTGTGCATCATGCAGCAATGCTAGCTAGTCAGCCTGTCGTGCATCCCACCTGGACCTAGTGCTGCTCTCTCTTCTCCCTGGGAGTTTGTGCCTTTTGACCACCTTCTGCCAATTCCCCCTCCCCCACCAACAACCCTCAAGGAACGCAAGTCGGACCTCCTTTTCTATGATACTGGAGGTGGTGTTAGATTTCACATATACGTGAGATCATACAGTATTAGTGTTTCTCTGACTTATTCCAATGAACATAATGCCTTCAAGGTGCATCCATGTTGTCGCAAATGGTAGAATTTTCTTTTTTTTTTATGGCTGAATAATACTTCATTGTGCCACAACTTCTTTATCCATCCGTCAATGGACACTTTCGTTTCCATGTCTTGGTTATTGTAAATAATGCTGCTATGAACGTGGGGGGTGCAGACAACTTTTTCAAGTTCGTGTTTTTATTTCCTTTATATACATTCCCAGAAGAGGAATTGCTGGATCATATGGTATTTCTGTTTTTTTAATCTTTTGAGAATCCTCCATACTTATTTCCACAGTGGCTGCACCAATTTACCTCTCCACCAACAGTGCATGAGGGCTCCCCATTCTCCACATGCACCCCAGCATTTGTTATCTCTTGTCTTTTTGATGATGGCCATTCTAACAGGTGTGAGGTGGTATCTCATCATGGTTTGAATTTGCATTTCCCTGATGACTAGCTATGTTGAGCATCTTTTCATGTACTTGGTGGCCATCTGTATGTCTTCTTTAGAAAAAATGTCTATTCAGGTTCTTTGTCCATTTTTTAGTTTTAGGGGGTTTTTTTGTTTGTTTTTTGTTTGTTTTTGCTCTTGCATTGTATGGGTTCTCTATATATTCTGGATATTAACCCCTCATCAGATACATGGTTTGCAAATACTTTTTTCCCATTCTGTAGGTGATCTTTTCATCTTGTTGATGGTTTTCTTTGTTGTGGAGAAACTTCATATTTTGATGTACTCCCACTTGTTTATTTTTTATTTTGTTGCTTGTGCTTTAGGTATGAGTTCCAAAAATTCATTCCTAAGGAGCTTTGTTCCTATGTTTTCTTCTGGGAGGTTCATATTTTCAGGTCTTACATTTAAGTTTTTAATCCATTCTGAATTAATTTCTGTGAGTGGTGTGAGATAGGGGTCAGCCATCTGTGCTGAGAAGCCCTCCAAGTAATGTTAATGCCCAATAAATTTTTAGAACCACTGGCTTAATCTATTTTTTACTACAATAAGAGTAGCTATAGACCCACAGGGGGCATTCCTAGCCCTTGAAGAGGTCAGAATGCAGCCTGCTGTGAGGCCAAAAATCAAAGTAATACATAAAGTAATACATAAAGCACAGATAAGGTCCTTCATCTGCAGACTATGCCCTGCCTTGGTCACATGAGTCTGTCAGTACTTTTCCCATGGCAAGGAACAGAAACTCTCTCAAGAGAACTTAAATGAAATTGGGAAGACTGCTTTCTCTTTCATCAAGTGCACTAATTGGCCTAAAGCTCCTCAACTCCTTTTAGCCTCAATTATGTGATTACACATTATTAGAGCATCAATAATGAACAATTAAAAATAACACTCTTCCTGTGGGGAAATAAAAATACTAAAAAAAAAAATCCAGGAATTGTGAAAGTGAGAAATTGCAAGTCATCTTGAACATGTAAAATTTAATAAACTTTTGGGCGCCTGGGTGGCTCAGTTGGTTAAGCGACTGCTTTCGGCTCGGGTCATGATCCTGGAGTCCTGGGATCAAGTCCCGCATCGGGCTCCCTGCTCAGCAGGGAGTCTGCTTCTCCCTCTCCCGCTCTCCCCTCTTGTGCTCTCTCTCTCTCTCTCACTCTCTCTCTAAAATAAATAAATAAAAAATGAAAAAAAAATTTAATAAACTTTTAAATAGGGTTCTAAGAAAAAAGCTTTAAGGAAAAGGTTCTTGAGATAACATTCTCTCTCCAACGTGATTTTCAAAAACCACCAAAAAATTATGCTCCATCTGCAAAGTAACTTTTGTTCCCTGAGCATATATCAAGCCAGAGAATTAGAAATGTAACATGCAGAGGGGCAGGAACGTGCTTTTCCCTCACACAACAGCAGGAGATGGAAGTGTGGGTTTATAACTAAGATTGTGGCGCCATCTTCAGTTCCTGAGGTGGATTGACAACTTGACCCGAGTGCTTCTAGAAGGAGTTATAAAAGAAAGGAGTCCTAAAACCAAACACCTGTAAATGATTAAGAATGAAGGCACCTGGCGGGAGGGGTGGCCAGAATCACTAAACCAGACTACCTTCTCCAACCTTCTGGACCTTTAGTCCAGAGCTAGAGCTCCACCCCAGCTTCTGCTACTTTAAGTGTACTCGGGGTTCAGCAGTTTCGGCATCATTTTAGAGCTAGTGAGAGATGGAAATTCTCAAGCCCCACTCCAGACCTACAGAATCAGAATCTGCATTTTCCAGGTGATGTGTGCGCTCACCGAAGTCTGAGAAGCTCTGTTCTATGTGATTTCCCAACCATTCAGCCCACTATTCCCGATTTCACAAAGCCAGGTATGGGGTGCGGGGCGAAAAGGAAGACAGACACCTCACCGATGGATAAAATTGCACAGCCTTGATGAGAAGATGTCATTTACTGAACTTACATATCAACAAGTTATCCAAGCCAAAAGTAAAAGCAGAGCCACGATCATATTCCAAATATTACATTTTCCAAAGATG